GAGACCCCTTTTATGGAATGTTAGTTCTTTGCACGTAGTAGGGCATGTTATGCGATTTTAACTGGACAATTAGACATAATAATTAAGAAATTATTTTAAAGAAATACAGAGTAGTTTTACAAAGTGTAGTAGCCTCCAGTAGCATCCTTTCGCAGCCCTCATGAAGCTCGTTCCCAGGTCGCTGACTTCGTAACGGCTGCGAGAGGAGGGAGCCTATTCACCTGCTCACCTAGGTAACATCTCCTTGTAGAGCAGACTTTTTCCTCTTTAGAGCTTCCTGCACATGGTTTACCATATTTGGAACGAGAAGGGTTATTACATCGCCGWGTWCGTCTATGAACACCATCGTCACATTTAACACTRCACGCAGACCAAGAAGACCAATGGCCCCAGTTGCCGTTCCTGGCATTTCGAGCTGTTGAGCGTCAATAATTGTCAATAATTAGAAGAAATGGACAAGAGTTTCATTAAGTGTGTGCATCCCACTGACTTCGGACAAACTGGCTTGAGAGTCACGTAAATAACGATGTTTATGCGATAAAGTTCCAACAAACCTCTCTTTGTAATTTCCATAAGTTCTTGACCTTTAGGCAATTTGTCTTGTTGGTGATTATCTGAAAAATTAGAATTTTAGTGAACCGATTATTTCTAATTTAAGTGCCCATGCAATTCGTAATGCAGGAGATAGTTGGAGAGAACGAACATAACAGAAGTTGTATATATAAAGTATATATCAAACATGAAGATCGACTCTCAAAAAATCGGGAAAATGGCGTGGCACTTTTTTCTGTGGTCAGCCAACGGACGAACATCGGTCAAAGGGCCTGGRGTGTCCGCTTGGCTTTCGTTTTCTGACCAMAAAAAAAGCCGCGCCTTTTCGGCGATCTCTGGAGAATTGATCGTGTTTGAACGGCTTTAGTGCATAGTCAAGGCAGGCATCTAAGACATCAAAATTAAGATGTGTTTATGCTTAACCAAATGTGTGATGGCAGTCAATTTGAACGGCAAGTGTTTTATTTTAAAACATTAAAACTGAGACCTTTGCTAGTGTTGGGTTTCGATAAAACGCTGATGAACTTGGACAAGTGCTTTACCGGGATATAAAGGCCCATCATGTGACCCAATAGTTCGATGCTCATTAGACTAATAGCTCATGAATTATAAATGAGTTCTAGATTGCGCATCATAGACCTTTGCTAGGTTTTAAATCAGTTTGAATCAATCTGAAGACATTAGTTAAGCATACACTAGCCGTTCTTCCGTGTGGGATCAAAATTCTTTCAATTGTGGCACATGCACATGCTCATTAGAAGTTCAATATACATTATCACTGTTTTCGCATTTTTAGCGTTTTTCCTAAAATATTAACAATAGTTTCTCGATGTTGGAGTTCTAGATGCGGCGAGAATCTAATATACCCGATAAAATACGTTCTCGAGTTCTAGAAACAACACTTATATGTGATCAAAGTCACCCCCTCCCAAAAATCCTGGATCCGCCCCTGGGCTGCATAGTTGTTTTTTTTTAGCCTAAACTTTACAAAGCCATTAATATTGAAACATGTATTGCAATATATTGAACAGCAAATAATATGTTATAAATTTATAAAATTTTAGCTTTGTATACACGTATCATTAAATAGTTCGTGTATGTAACCGACTGACCTTCAGCTCCTTCAGTGAAAACATCTTGTGCACTAGTCTCATGGTCAGCCATTGACTTAGCTAAGAAAGTTTCTCTACAGTATAACAACATAAACATTAACAAAACATCACGAGGAACCATTTCGATGATATCTTCAATTCAGAAGACGTTGGGTACTCATTCGAGTCTGAGTCATCTAACGATGGACATAKCTTTTAAGTACTTATAAATACTCCCTTTGACCGTTCGAAATTTGATATGTCAATGAAATCGCGCGGACAATTAAAATAGTCTTACTGAGTGAACAAATAGTGTGCGTATACTTTAAATACAAAATAAATACTTGAAATACTTGAAATACTTCAAATGTTTAATTGATTTTTCGTACAGSGATGCTGATTAATCATTTTCGTACATCTGTGCGGCGCACACTGAAAAGACAGCAATTTTAATTTTCGAGAAACCCCGTGGTATTAATTCACTTTCGAAACAAATACGCATGAAWTTTTTTATTAATTTTCCATAAGAAGCCAGACGGTGATGACAGACCAAATAAAATTGTATTGAATACACTTGTTAGATAAAAGAAAAAAAAACCCTCTGAAACATCAGCTTAAGTGCGGCTGTTATACGGTATTTTCTATTTAAGAGCTCAATCGTAAATCCACTAGCAGGTGCTTTTTGATATTAGTATATTGAAGGGATTTTGTATTCAATATGTGAGAGAAAAATGATGCAAAGTCTTGTCGGCTTACGATACATTTATAGCCAAACGCATTTCTTTTTATAACTTCCATAAAAAATTTTAGTTGGGCGATATGATTGACCAGATACCTTCTTTCAGAAATGTTTGGTAGAACTGATTAAAACAATGTTTCCTCRATGTAGGAACGCCATTTTATTTCTCCTTACGATTATTTAGCGCTGGCCTTTTACTAGGGTTGTTTTAAAGACGATAGKCACGGACTATATTTTTGAAAGATAGAGTGCGGTCACTCTATCTTCAAATAGTAAATATTTCAAATAGTAAATTGAGCAATTATTTATCGATTATTTATCGTCTAGATCTTCGTTATTACTTCGTTGATAGAAGCGCATTCGCTTGGATGGACACGGAACAACGGCTTCATTTCGAGGCTGGCGTTTTCGACAAAAGATAAAACTCCAGCCTCGAAATATAGCCAGTGTTTCGTATTAATCCAAGCGAATGCGGGATTGGTCTATTGTAGTTACTCGTTAGTTCGTAATAAATGTTTTGTAAATCTCTTGTCTGTAGAATATATTATTCTCTGGGGAAGATGCAAAGGGCCAGGGGTTGAGATAAGGGGCGGGCCGGATCGTGACAACGAGTGCGAGATTTTCAACACGAGAAGACAAAATTCGTATCTCCCAGCGACCATGTAATATTCTTTTTATCATATAATTGTATATGAAAGCAAATTATGTCGTAAAATAGCTTTTTTCTTTACTTACACTATATAAGAAAAACCGCGAATGTGTTATTTTCACTAGTGAAAATATCAASTTTACGAAATGGAGAAATATACGTATTTCACAGGTAATTATATGATAAATACATATGTACATCTGCTTTAAGACTTTTTGCATTCATAATCTGTGTTCGTTGATCATGAAGGACTCATAAGGACACTTCCCSKTKGACAGTGAACACCAGTAACAACTTACGACTGAGTTTAGCACCCTGAACACTCCCTTCCCGCATCGATCGTTTAATATTTGAGYGTATCTGCATTTACAATATTCATTAATAATTCATAAGTTACACAGCCACTGAGTGACCGCCATTGTAGTCACATGAMTACCCTTGTATTCACCAATACAAACTTAMAGCGCGGGGAGGGCTTGAATTCAGCGCCGGGGCKCTTATTCGAGCAGATACGGTATYCAAACAACACATATAGATTCTAGAATGGATTTGTTTTTGTACAACTGGGATCAGTTGTTCTTTATTCGATACTTGCAAACCTTTTAAACATGCTTGTGCAACTGAATATTCGTGCATTGCTTATAAATACTGCTGAACGTGAATGATTTCTATAGTCTTATGAATGACGAGSCTCTAGTGTCTWGCATACTTTTTCTTAGTAACTTTTACWTGTGTTAATGACAATCATATTTCTAAATAAATCTATAATCCAAAAGTAAGAATTATGTAGGTATATGACGTTTTTGCTATATCTATCAATTAATTTTGACTGTGGCATGACTTTTGCTTTGACTTCTGCAAAGAAAAAAAAAAGAGAGAGAAAATAAAATAAAACATATTTATCAATTCTAAACTTATCTACCATCATCGGTACTGCATCATTAATGGTACAAGAAAACTGATTAATAACTTCACCTTTTGAGGAAGAAAACAGTTTAGTCTTTCTAGACACTATAATCAAGTTTAATCAATTKGAAAAGACTGGTTTCCGTTAAAAATWAAGACCCTCTTCTGAACATCATCGCACTCTGCTAACGTGCACAATTGATCTTTAGGCCGTTATGTAGACRAAACGAGCTTCCCTATTGCAACTTGGGGTTAGAGTCTAGAAAGACTGTTTGGATTTGCATAATTTTATCGTTTTTTTTACAACGCTAAGGCCTATAGCCTCCGGCGGTTTGTAAATCTACAATTGTTGCCAAGATAAAATGGATCATAGAATTATTTGTCTCCAGCCTAACTTTTGACTCCTTTACTTTTCATAATTCTCGTGTAAGAGAATCCGGAATCCGGAATCCAGTAAAAAAACAGCTTTGGAATCCGGAATCCCTATCCTGGAATCCAAATATTCGGAGGATTGCTTTTATCGATGAAAATCTAGCTGTCTAGAGATGGGAACGTACATCCAACTAATATGCTGTACTTTAGCGTACTTCATATACKTAGTTTGTTTGTCARCGTGCGACAAATATTGGAAAAATATTGGAGTGTAAATTAGTGACGCGCTAGCCTGCTTTGCCGCTAATGACACGCTGAATATAAAATTTTCAGGAAAAAAAAAACACTAAAAATCACGCCATTTATTATCAGGAATCCAAAACAAAAATTGTTTGGAATCCGGAATCCCAAGGCTTGGAATCCGGAATCCTCTTGTTCTCTGGATTCTCTTACATGGGGCTTCTTTTGTTTAATAACAGCTTTGGCTTTTTTCCGACATTCCTTGTGATATGACTACGACCAAAGCAAGAGAAGAGGAAGCCCGAGCAAACATTAAATGTATTTTAGACTGATATACTTCAGCTCACCTTATCTAACACACACGACATGCTTTTCTGCAATGCAATGTCATGTATTGTGGGTTCCTCTTGCATTCTCCTTCTTTTGCCCACTTACGGCATTTAGGWTTCGTGTCTTTACAGCCTAAATATGAATACTTAATTAATAATAATAATTATTATTATAGAGTAGACATTTTCATATTTGTTTTTTTTTCATCTTTAGAGGATGTTAACCACCCAAATAAACCACCCAAATAAGCCAATAGGAGCCACGGGCATTTCAAAAATTCTAAGCGTGAAAATTATGAAATCTCTGAAATTCAGTTTTATAACAACCGCGCTCTTCTGTAGCCAGAAAACTTTTCCACATGTGAATCAAGAATCAACATTCAGCTGAACAATATCAGTCAATATTAGGCGTGCCTTTTTGGAATACGATACCCTCTCTATTCGAAATGTGTCTCAAGWGTCATTTCAAAAGAAAATCATCAAGTCAATTTTTTTTCGAGTTACTTCAGACAGAAAACACCTACTGCTGAAATCGAAAGGATTATTCAAATTCTCAGGGAATCTACCTACTAATACAATCGATATTTCTTGTACTTCACCTTTCATGATAAATTRACRTCACAACCGTATATCGCTTATGACTCAATTTTAATTAGTAATACTAATTTCAAATAATTTTTGATTTTTATATTTCAAACCTCCTTTTTGCACTTTTTCATTAAAACATCCTTCTGATCGATATAGTATTTATTTGTACAAATTTAAGTTTATTATCTTACTTTAACCCAAGAGCCTACCTAGCCAGACTAGTAATCCTTACTATTTGCAGGCCGGTGGTATATAATTATTTTTGACTAGTCCTTTTAGTATATTGAAATAAGCCTTGAAATGTTGATTTATATACTTACTGCATTTATTGCAACTCCTACGGCAGTGTGTGTCCATGAAATCCTCATTCTTCAAGCATTCGCCTGCTGCCGCCCATTTTGCACATTCCTTTTTGAATTTTTCGGTGTCATCACAGAGTAACTCGCCTTAAAACAACAGAAACAATCAAAAATTAATATCCAGGAATTAATCATGATAAAGGCAAACAATCTTATATATCTTGATAGTCGTAAAAACGTTAAAAAAAGGGATGATAGTAGTGTTATTGAGGATGCAGTAATGGCGAATTAAGCTTGACAATGTCTTATTTTGGGAGCATAAATACTTTTATAAGATCGTTTAGAATGTGAACTTACAAAGTTTACAGCTTTTTGCGCAGTTTTTATGCATGTATATCTTGTTTTTATAGCATTCTCCTTTCTTAGCCCATAGCGGACATTGGACCTTGTCGGAGTCTTCACATTTTGCTGTTTAAGAGACGAAAAAAATATTGCAATATATAAATTATCTTCCTTTGCTTACACGATCTCTTCGAGCAACTTCCGGCATTCAGCAAAAATGGGAGGCAAGCAAACTAAATTAAAGTTAAGAACAGGTATAGTCAAAGACGTCAATGGCTGACCTTCGCATATTTTGCAGCTTTTTGCACAATTTTTGTTCATATATTCCTTGGATTTGCTGCATTCTCCTTTTTTGGCCCATAATGGACATTGAACCTTCTTTAAGTCCTCGCACTTCTTCACTTCAACAGGGGTTTCGCCAGGTAAGTTTCCTAAAAACAACAACAATTGAATAAAACACCAATATACAAGCTCTACGGATGAGTGTGAGTCCTGGTGCCTATAAAGAGTGTTTTGAAAAGTTAAAATTCCATAACAATAAATATGCTGTGTAGTTACCACAAACATGGCAGCTTCTTTTGCAATTCTTTGTCATAAAGACTTTACTTCYTTGACAACCTYCGTTTGCTGACCACTTGCGGCAAGAGACGTACTTGTCCTGACAATCTAAAAGGATATTAAGCAGCTAATCAATAATCTTTTTAATCTAAAAAATATATAACGTCACGTTGGTCACTATCCTCTGATATAAAAACGGTGGGAGTTGAAAAACACGAGAGAAGCAAGAGAAACAAATAGATAGATAGAGCGTAGCGAGTGTTTCTCTTGCTTTTCGAGTGCTTTTSAACTCCCACCGTGTTAATATCAGAGGACAGAGGCACAAGCAGCCGTTTTGTTGTTCTTTTAGAAATTTTTTCTGCGTTTTTCGAGCGAAAAACAAATTTTGCCGGYAAGCCGTGTCTCTGTCCTCTGATATAAACACAATCGTAAGCCAATCAGAGCGCGCGTTATATATCAAAATTTATAATATTAATAAATAAATCCATTTTATATTATTAAATTTAAAATGGATTTATTCAACTTGTACATTTTCTAATWAAATTCTTTGCAATTCTTGAGAGTAMWTGAAAACGTCATTTATACTGAGCCATTTTATTACTTTCCTMACCAAGAGCAAATGCACTAAGTCAGTGTATTAGTTCAATGTGAGCTTAAAAAGAAAAGAAATGAGAAACACGTGTGGAAACTAAACAAATTTKCATTGAAGATGAGTTRGTTGTTTAAGCTTACCGCACTCGCCGTCGTCAATGTATACGTCATCAATTGCTATGTCTGAGTAGCCTCTTCCACCAACGTTTGCAATAAACTCCAGCTGAAATATAAAAACGAAAAATATTCAGTTTTCTAAAACAAGTGAAGCCATTGGAATTTTTTTTTATAACAGAGAAAACCTTTAATACTGAAGATAGTATTTTCCAATACTGAAATGCATTGTTGGCCGTTCTATCGTGGGAGTGCTAGTTAAAACCAGTTCTGTACAGTCGAGAACTTGATTTGAGAGCAGCTGTTTATAACTGCTATATATTTAATAAAGCAGCGGTATACACTATTTGTTATATTCATCGTTTTCTGAAAAATCTGTATCAAATTCTCAATGAACATGTAGTTTGCACAAACCTTAAAGCCCCCTTGTATGTTCTTTAGGTTTGCTGTCCCCAAAATCCAATCTCGGCCTTGATCTCCCCTTCTGAAAAACAGGGTGTTCTTGGGTACGCCATTTTGAGTGACTTGTACTTTAAGAAAACCCATTGTTTTCCCAAACATCGTGTAGTAAAACTTCAAACACTGTCCGCCCTGTTTTGGTTTGAGTACTTYGCTAACCAATATGGCTTTTTCGTTTATTCGTCGTCCGGAAGACTCCATGTACAAGTAGTACCCTGAAGGAGAACATCAAGATGTATTTAATAATAGTTATTTCTCCAAACTGTTGGCCATTTTCATTTAAGAATTGATAATATAAATATGTCAGAAGTACATAAACAGAAGTGTCCATCTCGCTATTTATATAATTTTACCATCAGATATCCCGATAATCTATCTCTAGACAACCAAATCACAATGTGCGCACATATAATACGACACCTGATTGGTACTTATTGATACTACTTCAAGAGACAAATTTTTGTTGTCGTTGGCTGTTTTAAAATAGATTATTGGGACATCTGATGCTGACGAGATTATTAGCGAGATGGACACTTCGGGTTATGTACTTCTGAATATTTTATGCTACACAAGCTTGACGCTCTTAGCTTGAACAAAACGCACGAGTCAGAGCCAAAACTCAACTGATAAATATMAAGTATTATGGGTACCTTTGCCTGTTGTATGGTCTCTCATCGGTCCTGTGTTCATAGTTTTAGTAAAACCTTGATGTCTGACCCATTTTAATTGATTCCAACCAGGTTTGTTGCTCCACATTCCCATGGGATTTGATGGATCATCAAAATCTGTGTCGTCGGGACCTTAGTGAATACAAAAAGCATGTTTTAATATTAACTKTTGAACAAGAGAAATGGAACGCCTTATTCAGCTTATCAGTGAACATAAAGTGTCAGACTGGTTTGGTTGCACTTTGGAATGCCACARTTAAGACCAGATGGCAGTTCGAGATCCMTTTTAGGGAATTTTAGATCTTTGCACGTAKTAGGGTTACATGTTATGTGATTTTAACTGGACAATTTGACATAATAATTAAGAAATTATTTTAAAGAAATGCAGAGTAGTTTTAACTTTCAGCCTAATCCAGTAGCCTCCTTTCTCAGCCCTTATGAAGCTCGTTCCCAGGTCATTGATCTCGTAACGGCTGCGAGAKGAGACTGTATAATCCAACTGCTTACCTGGGTGGCATCTCCTTGCAGAGCAGACTTTTTCCTCTTTAGAGCTACCTGCACATGGTTTGCCATATTTAGATCGACGAGGGTTATTRCATTGCCGAGTACGCCTATGAACACCATCGTCACATTTAACACTACACGCAGACCAAGAAGACCAATGGCCCCAGTTGCCGTTCCTGGCATTTCGAGCTGTTAAGCGAAAGTCAATAATTAGAGGAAATGGTCCTTTTCGCGGTCAAAACCAAAGCGGGCAACATGTTTGCTGCAGCACCCAAATGAGCAAGAGTGCCAAGTAATGTCAAAATCATCATATGACTTTGTTCGCCGAAATTTCTTATTCCTGACAACGCAAAAAGTTAAACAAGCTCGAAATGGAAACTTTTTGGGTGGTTGCCCGATTCTTACATGATTTGGTGCAAAACCACAGACTCCTCACGCAACTTGTTTTCTAACCGCAAAAAATTGCTATTGGCATAGACTGAACATAAACTTTAATCAAGGCATAAGATTGTGAGGTTGTGCTTTGTCCCGCCCAGCTTCATTTACGATCAAYTAGCCAACTTTCAAAAATTTGGCCTGACTAGCCTTGAACAARCTAATCGAAGGCGAAGCTCTGGCAAAACAATATATCAACATTTTGTCCTCGGAGACTCGTTTTCAGAACTCTTATACAGGCCCATTTGAGCAGTATAATRTGGAAAGTCGGCTATTTAGAATATGAAGGACTTACCAAGACATTCCATCTTTGTGCATTTCCTTTCTTGATTCTCGATTCCATAGTAATTGACATTTCCTCCGCATGATTTGCGATTCCCAGAATTATAGCAAAATCGCTGTCGGGATTTGTAGCATTTATCGTCACATGGTGTGTATTCGGACCATGATGCCCAGCCCTTTCGTTTGACTACGATGAAATAAGACGAATTATTATATAGAAAGGATGTAAACACACGAATTTATTGGCTAAAAAGCGGGTCGTACTTTTCCGTATATACGGACCAGATGAAACGGAAAAAACTTTTTTTATCAATAAAAAACTCGCTTTCTCTCWTTTCGTCGTTGTACTGTATAATTTTTGATTTTCTTTTTCTTTATTAATTTCACCATTTTCCCCGAAAATGCTATACAAATTTCTTATTAACCTCGCTTGCTCGAGCCTTACGGGAAGTTGTAATGGGGAACCTCTTTTTTCCCGCTCTGGCCATATGTCAGCGGAAAAAAAA